CAGTGTAGCGTTCCCATCCTTGTTTAAGTGACATATACCGGTATTGCGGTATTTTCAAAATTCATATCATAACAAAAATAAAAACCGGTATTCGGTATGAACCGGTATACCGCCCAGCACTAATTTTAATGTTATAGGAAAAAATAGCTTGATGTTTAGTATAATATATAAATAAATGGCACATCTGTGGGTCTAAGGTGTGAGCCTGTCATTTTTACGAACGTGTTTGTGTATACAAAGAGGAGTCTGCTAACCTCACTGTTGACCTTTGCTCCGTCAGGCATCTTGTCTGTCAGGTTGGGACTCAGGGCCTGGTTATGTGGATGTGAGGGAGAGCTTGGCATGGGCTGCATGGCGATGAGCTGTATCTTATTGGAGACTCTGCGCGTTCCATCTGACGAACCTCGAGAGAGGCGGTCCACATGCTCAAATATGGATGACGAGGACAACTGCTCATCCACACCACTTCCAGGTTGAGCACCTGAACATCAAGGCCAGATGTCAAAGGTCATGAAATTGTAACTAACAATATATGAATGCAACATCAATGGGTAAAGACACTTACCAAGTTTGTTTTTTGCTGATGAACCAATGGAATAAGAGGAGGAGAGAAAGAGATAAAAATTTTGTAATAACAATAATTTTAATAATAATTTATTACTATTTTAATAATAATAATAATTTGTATTTTACAATAATAATTATACATTTAAATTTTTTGCACAATACAAATCATTATAAAGCAACTTTATACTATACTTTTAATTATTAATAGTTAATATATAGTACAATAATATAGTAAATTAATATACTGTATAACATATTATACTAGAATTAGTGTGTTTTTGTCGTAAAATACAATGCTTGCTCTTGCGATGTTGGGGTTTGCTGTCACTTGGCGTCACAGCAGGTCTGGTGCTTTCCTCTGCTGATTCTCTACAGCTGGATGCTTCACTTCCTAATGAATCTCCATCAGATGGAGACAACCTGAAAAAAAAAACAGAAATAGTAGTAAATAGCAGTATTTAAAAAAATAAAACAAAAATAAATATAAATGACACAAAACTAAAAAACAAACAAAACAAACAAACAAAAAAACGTGTGAGTTAAAAAAATAATATAAACCAGTGTTTTTATTGTTAACTAAAATAAAGGCTGAAATAAATATGAAAATAAAGATGAAAACGAATGCCTTGCCTTGGCAACTAACTGATATTAACTGAAATTAAGTTGAAGCCCTTATAATTGCTAAATTTGACTAAGAAACACAACTGAAATAAAAATAAACGAAATAGCAGAAATAGCAGAAATCAATAAAAATGACACATAATCAAATTAGCAAAAATTAAACTACATTTAAAATGAAAATATAAAAATAAACGCTACACGAACTATAGTATATAAATAATACTAAAATTACACTGATATAAACAGAACCTGCTCACAGACAGTTTCTTACCTGCCTCTTCTCCGTGCTGCACGGGATGCTTTTGTAGATGAGCTCTTTGATTTAGGAGTGTTCAATTCTCCGCCCTCTGAGGGCGTGGCCTCTTTAACAGGTGCCGGCAAAGGGGCGGGTTCTTGGATTATCATGATGTCATCATTACTATGCTGCCCCAGGTGTAGTTTAGCAAAATCAAAGCCTTTAACAATGGGAGGCTGCAACTACAATGACAAACACATGAATGGACAGTAAGTATGATACAACATGCTAAATTGACTGTTGCAATGCAGCCCATTTTTCCATTAAAGCCCTTGACATGGGTGAGTAAAAATGAGCACTGTCACTTCACATGGAGTGTCTATGAGTGGGCAACACTTTCACACACACACACACACACACACGCACACTCGCACGCATGCACGCTCGCACGCACGCACGCACGCACGTGTTTATGTGATGTGTGGGAAAGACAAACAAACTGTGTACACTAATGTGTTTGAATGTACCTGTACACTGTTGTTGCCAATACTAGTAGCTCTTCTCCATCGTCGACTGCTAACTCCGATCCGAAGTCCCTCTCCAACCAGCAGTGCTAATCGCCTCTCCATTTTGGCCTGGAAGGTCCTCTCGTTCACACGCTGGTCCAACACACCCAATAACACTAGAACAAATGCACAAATCCACAAAAAAGAAAGTAGCATCAGAAATGTGCATGAAGTACTAAATTATAATATTCATAAATTACAGACTAGTATAAATCCACCTGCCATCTTTTAGTAAAATAAACATTTATAAGTGCCTGTACCATTAATAGCCTCATAATGAGAAAGATTAGATCATAATATTGAATTTAATACAAGATGTGAATAAATCAAATACGAGAATGAATTAGATTTATAACAATTAATTATATAAATTAAAGAAACATTTATTACAATCATATTCATCTCACATAAGAACTCACCTCAACAATAATTATGTTTTTAATATTTAAAACTATATAATAATATTAATTCATATTGTATAATTATTAATTTTATATTGACTGTTTTAATATACATTACTTTGGATTCCAAGGTTTAATTTGGAACACACCCACATACCTGTTTTCACCCAGGATGTGCGTAACAGGTGGGACACATTCAGTTCAGGATAATGAAAAGCTGGAAGACAAGAATTGAGATAAAAAGAGTGATAAATGAATAACGTTTATGAGAAATTGAGACAAAGGGCCTGTGTGTGTATTTGTGACTCACGTTCAGCAATCTGCAGGGTAGGAAAACCAAGGTAGAAGCTGAACTCCACAGTGCTGAGCTGCCTCATGTGACCACTCACATCTGATCCCGTTAGGAAGCCTTGAGAATCACGCACAGCAAAAGTGATGTCCACCGGTGCCTTCTGCAGCCGCTGACCCTTAGGAAGGCTACTAGTGATATTCACAATCTAGACAAGCAATCATACAGAATTATCAATACTATTTAAATGTATGTAATACACAGAATCATTATTAACAAGCTTTTCATGGAAAAACAGTGACATGTAAAGTGTGCAAAAATTGTGCTGTATTTCGAATTAATTACATACATGAACTGTGAAATTTCCCTTTTCTTGTGAGCGTTTGCGTACTTCCGCGTATGCCATGAGTAGCCCCTTCTCTACACGCTCGCTGAAGCTACACAGACGCACATCCACATGACTCGGTACAAACTGCAGCACTGCAAGACAAATGAACTAATGTCACAATCATTCTTAAAATATTAAGTTATTATTATTATTATAATATTACATATTTAAATAAAACGTATATTATTTACTTTAAAATTATTACTCAGTTTTTACAGTTTGACACACGTGAGCGTGCTATTCACTGGTTATACTCTGACTCTCTCACCTGTGTGGACCTGATGTTTGTAATCAGGCACTGCATATATAGTTGTGACGGACAGAATGGAAGAAGAGGAAGTGCTGTGCACTGATTGGCGGACAGCATTAATGACAGAGATAGCAGTGTACACCAGTGGACCGGAAACTGCCCGGAAGATGAAATTGGGCGGGGCTTTGAGGACCTGGATGGATAGCACAGATAGACATCAGTGATGCTAGAAATAAATAGCTGATGTGTGACCTGTTGTGATTTGACACGCTCACCTGGAGCTCCACTGAACGGTTGAACTCTCGTCGAAGGATCTCCCGCACATGAGCTTTGGCAAACGCAACCGACGACCCACTAGGCATGCCTGCAAGAGTCAGACAAGAAGGTTGTAAGAAATTATAACAAATTTATGTAATTAAAATGTATTATAAAAAAATACAAATATATAATTAAATAATTAATAATAATAACAAAGTACAGTAAAAACCTTTTTTAACTTTCTAAAGAATTTTGCCATCACAACATTAAATTACGTAAGTGTTAAATTATCAGTGTTTTTTTAAAGATTACCTAAATTTTAAACAAGAGGAAATTAATGTGTGCTTAATAATGATAAACAGGATAGATAGATAGATAGATAGATAGTGTTATCTATTTAAATATAACTGTTATGTACCGTTATCACTGTTAAATATAAATCATTAAAAAATTAAATCATGTTATTAGTGGTTTTAAAAAATTAACTATATGTAAAAATAAAGAAAATTAATGTGCACAATAATAAAAATATGATAAATTAACTAAATGTAAAAATAAAAAAAAATTATGTGCACAATAATAATAAATAATATGATAAACTAAAAAATCTCTAATATCGGCTAATAACCAATATGATACTGATATATTGTGTAAATTGTCTTACCCACTCTGACTAGGTACATGTCCGGTTTGGTGATATTGCAGACGTACTGTCGGGGTGCGATGGACAGAGGAATTCTGGGGGTTGTAGGCGGTGGGCTTTTGGTGGAGAGGCTGGTGGTGCTCATGGTAGTCGTGGTTGTAGTTGTGGTTCTGGTGGTGGTTTTTATGGTGGTCATACGGGGTTTGGTAGCAGGGGGCTTCAGCGTAACGGCTTGTATTACTGGACCCTCTGAGGTGCCGGGTGGAGGCAGGGCGGTTGGCACTGGTGGTCGGGTTTTGCCCACATGGGACGTGGGTATGGAAGGAACACCCTTATCTGGGCCTTCAGGAGGCCGTTGTGTCTCGGTGGTTGATGCAATGGGAGGCTTTGTAGGTTTTTGGGGTGGAGTTGGGGTTACTGATGGAATAGGTCGAGGAGTTGTCCGGTCAATTTCGTCCGGGATTTTTCCCAAAGTTGCAGTGGGAGTGTGGGTGGGTCCCACAGTGTGCGTAGGGTTAATATGAAGGTGCGTCCTATTCCTCACAATACTAGCATTCTCTTTGGCTTGCAACGTGTTGTAGTATTCCAAACTGTTCATATCAGGAAGCAGCATTTCAGTCGGCTCAATGGGAAAAAGCTCCGCCCAATCGAAATCCAAATCATCGTCCATATCGCTCGCATGGGCGGAGTCAGGAGCCAATGGGAGGCGGGGATCGGTAGGATGGGCCGTCCTTAAGTTAGTCCCATATTTTACAGTCACGCTGGGCTGAAGGTCTCTTGACGAGAGGGGCAGGACGGGGCGAGAGGGGAAAGCTGTGTTGTAGCTGACCGTGGCGTCATTGTCCGTATCATACGGATCGTATCCATGCGTAGGAAGGGTGGTGACGAGAGAAAACTCCTCCCCTTCCGATCCCATGAAAGTAAGAGTTTCAAGGTAGTCTCCGGAGCCCCAGTCCACCTCCGCGGAGTGGACAGGATACTGGTCTTCGGGTGGCACCAGGGTTGGGGGAGCTGGTGTCGGCGGTATGTCGTCATGGAGGGGAGGCATCTGGCTGGGTGTTAGAAGGTCTGGGGGTCGTAATAGCAGGTGGATGCCCTGGGCCCCATCACCTAAGTTACCCGACCCTTCGGAACCGAGGGACGGGGTGGGATCTATGCGGGAGGCACTGTCATGGCGTCCAGGGGACGAGGGATGTTTGGCACCTGGAGGCGTATGAGCTGGACGCCTGGTTCTTTCAGATCGATGAGGAGATGATGATGATGATGATGAAGATAAGGCAGGAGGTGAACGTGTTCTTGTTGGAAGCTGATTGAGGCTCCTTCTGGACATGTTGGATGGGAGCTTCACTTAGGAATGGAAAAAAAGAAAAGTTTGAGTGTAGGGCTGGTCGATATGTCAAAAATATCTTATCGATAATCGCCTTTAAAAATATCGTGATATCCGATAATATCGTCTACCTAAGCCCCACCTCCACCACACCCCGCCGAGAAAACATTGCCGACATGCACCATAAACACACACCATGTTCAGTTTGGTCTTAATTATTGCCACAAAGTTTGGTTTTACTTTTCTTAGTTTGTGCTTAAACTAACAGAAAACATTAGCTTTGCTGTTATTTTGGTTGTTGCTAATAATTTCCACTCTGTTCTTATCAAATTTGTGTTTGAAATGAATTTCGTTTTGTGAGGAGAACTGTTGAGGAAAAATAATAGAACCCAATTTTAAGTTCATCATGGTGAAGCTGGACATTCTGGCGGTGATTGTAAGAATGATAAATGAATGTTAATGTCATATAATAATGTCTTGAATAAAATATGCCGATTTTCCGATGTTTCTCTTTCTTTTTGGCATTATCGCCTGTGTAGACGCATTTCATGATGGTAAGTTTAATTTCCTTAATTATAACACGTGCAGCGTTGTTTTTAAACTTGTAGTCAAGCTATAACATATTTGATATTTATCATGTATGACTAAAATCTAAAATCTAAAAATGATAAAAAATGAATTCCAAGCAAAAACGTTAAGGTATTTTTTTTTTCCTTTCTGGTAGCCTACTAGTTCAGAGGTCTCTTTCGGCCCGTTTTTAACTAAATAAAAATAACTGCTTCATGGCAGTTAGCAGGGTAATTTAAATTTCATTTTTATATTGTAATTTTTATAATTTTTATTTTATTAATCAAAATACAACGCCCACAATATAATATTCAGTGTTGGGCTGCCGAAACTCCAAACGCATGCATGTTGAGGAGCGAGCTGAGAAGTCTAATGTCGTCATCCGTTTGCAACATAATTATATTATATACACGGTTTAAAAATCTGTAAAAATATTGCACTGAAATGTGCGCTGAAGGAATTTGCGTATTTTAATTATTCCTGTCATGTTTGTGGTTTTTCATCAATTATAGAGTCTGTTTAAATAAATATTCAGAAACACATGCAGTGCTACTTTTTGTCTTTTTTCTGTTTAACGTTTATTAAACTGCAGCTCAAAATAGAATAGGTCTATACCCTAAATAAGGATAAATTATATTGGAACGCATCTCCAAAATAATCACATACACAGATGCACGTTGACATTACAGTAGTCAGCGCTGAACAACAGGCAAATAAAATAAACTGAGGTTACAAAAGTGACTCAGTCAAGATCAGTGAGGGATTTTCTTTTCTTTTGTTCTTTGATTAACATTATAATGACTGGCGGCAGCGGCTGCTGTATATACGAGATATATATAGATGTATTTCGTCGATATACGATAATATCGTCATATCGCCCAGCCCTACTTGAGTGTGCTGCAGGATGGCACACAACCAAACCACAAGAAATTAAATATTTGCAAACAGCAGAAGGACAGATTGTAAATACACTTCATCCAAATCTTTCATAACACACAGTGCAGGAGAAAGCCCAGATTGTACCCAAGACACAGTCATTTTTAACAATGTCTCTATAGGAACTAGTTCTGTGGATGAGTATTAAACTTTTGATCTAAAACCATTTATCTAAATCTACATTATGTGAATAGGTTCCCTAATCAAAAACATGACTTACAGCTCTATTTAGTATAATGCAAAAAGAAAAAAAAAAAAAAATTGAAAAAATAAATAAAACAAAATATATAATACTAAAATCAAAATGTTTATTTTAATACGCTAAAACTATTACTACTACTATAATAATTATTATTATAAAAATATAAATATATGGATAAAAAAAAACTTTAGAATATTTCATCATATTTAAGCAAATAGTGTGATATTGGCCTCAAGAAGCTTATTATATTATATTCTATTATATTTAGATTAGATTATTTGACTTCCAGATTTACCGTATGAGGTTAAAATAATATTACATTTTAGGCTAAAGGTTACTAACGTTGAATATATTATACAAATATACTATATGAACATAGTATATGTCAGTAACAACTGTTGTTATTGTTAACTAAAACTATTAAAAATCAGTTTCGATAATTGAATTAAAGCTGAAATCAAATTAAATATAAATATTAGATGAAAAACTTCAACTGAAAAAATTATTACCTTGACAACTAACTGAAATAACGAAGTTTAAGTTAAAGTAAGTTAAAACTGAAATAAAGAAATAATTAAAGATTTATAAAAATACAAAACAAAAACAAAAAAAAAATGACAAAAGCACATCACATAAAAACAAACTAAAATTAAAAAGAAAACTGAAAATACAAAAATAAAAGCTAATTCAAAATATGAATAAATGTTATTATAGTATATAACAATACTAACACTGGTAACAATGAATATACAGTAACCACATATTTAGGATTGGAGGTGATGATTTAGGAATCAACCATTTAAAAACCATGCTAATCTGAATATTAGCACACACACTGCCCTCAGGTGGTCAGTGTCTATAGAGGTTGCAGATCTGATTCTTGAAGTGCACAAAACATTCATTTCCATTTTCAGACACAAATGGCACTGTTTCTAAAAAAATCATGATCCTATTACGGTTTTGCATGGACAGATATAACAGCTAAACTAAAACTCATATCATAAGTCTTGCTATAACAGTAAATGTGACACGGTTGACTCTTAAAATGACTGTTTTTTTTATTTCAACGAGCCATATGGTACTGAAGCTGGCTATGAGAGCTGCCCTTTTATTAATGTGACTGTGATTCATCGGCATTGTGGGCCGCTGAGGGTAGAACAGAGGGATTGTGGGTAATGAGGCTGATTGAACGGCACACTGTGGGGAAGCAGGGGAGTACAGCGCAGTTGAGCGACATTAGTAGGCCAGTGTGTCATACTAGCTGAGGACACAGAGAGAAAGAGGAAGTCAACATCACTGTACAGTAGCAAATATGGACTTTTACTCCAACACTACAAACTGAGGTCGAACAGCTTCAAACTTCATGGTATCAGACAGTGCTAGCAGACAGCGCTAGACATAGACATGCCCTGTCATGTTTCCTCAGGCCAGATATCAAGTTGCTCATCTTGTTAAAAAACACTTTTCGAAAATAGCAATCCATCTGTTTAGTGAGTCACAATGACACTAACTGCTCGAATAAAATAAATATTTCTGGAGCTGTGTGCCAGTCATTAGATATCAAATGTTTTTAGCTAATACAGTATGTTTCCTGTAAGAGCACAATGGGATGCTCGATGGCCCAATTTATTTCTATCTCAGAAGTATTTATGACACATTTGTATGCTAAAAAGTAAAACTGTTCATTCCAAAGATTGGTACCTAACATACATATGGAAATTGGCTGAAGTTTATAATCTCTGGACCAAAAACAACAGGCTCCTTGTTACAATGCTATCTGCTTCATCAGGCATCTGGATAATAATTTATACCTGAACAATGACACTGACAAGACCCAAAAAGACACAGTAAAGATTTAAATCAGGAGAATTACTATTTTGATCAGAACTATTAGAAGTGTTGGGGAAAGTTACTTTTAAAAGTAATGCATTACAATATTGGGTTACTCCAATAAAAGTAACTAATTGAGTTACTTAGTTACGCAAAGTAATGCATTACGTTACTTTTGTGCTACTTTTTGTCACCTTGGCTGGGATCAGGGGCGTAGATTACGCAGGGGACGGGGGGGACGTGTCCCCCCCACTTTTAATATCACGTAAATTCATCCCCCGCACTTTTTCGGGCAAGTGTGTTCGCATAGAGGTTTTCAAGAGCCGGTGTGAATAAATATAGATTTAAATTCAAAGAGACAGGATAGTCTGTGCATGATCTGATGTTTTATTCGGACTCAGAATAAGGCGAGATGAACATCACTGAGCGCTAAACACTCCGTGCAGTGTATGTTTCATTCATACTCGAAGCCAGAGGGCGCTCTCATGCAGAAAGTCGTATGAGGAAATTCCTAATATGGACAAAAGCATCCAGCTATCGCTGTATGAAAACAGTTGTTTTCAGAAAAACAGAAACGTTTGGAAACATGAAGACATTAAACATACGATTGCGACAATATGGTTTATTTGTGTTTGTCAAGTCATCTCCGGGTAATAAATAAAGTATATGAACAATGCAGTGCTAACTGACATAGCATTTATTACAGTATTGAAACTATTCATATATATATATATATAACATTTCTGTCCCCCTCACTTCTGAAATGATGGCTATGCCCCTGGCTGGGATTGCTTATTTATTTTTTAATAACAAGAAACCCAAAAGTTATACAGGTGCATCTCAATAAATTAGAATGTCATGGAAAAGTTCATTTATTTCAGTAATTCAACTCAAT